CACTCTAGGAATGTATGTATAGCCTAAACATTCCGTGAGGAGCTTTGAAATACAAATCCCTGTTGCAAAATTCTTCGAATGTCAGAGCCTAGGCTCACGTGCATCCGGCTCAATGGTCCAGATTGTGTCAAAGATTGGCTCTCACTCAAATAATGTTTACATCAATTAATAGTTACGTTGTAATTAGCACACACACACAATTAAAACACATAGTAGCAGTAAGCTGTGTGTATGAATGTATTATTGAGATGTGAATAAATGTTGATTTCATTGGACATGCATTTTCTTCAGCCTAGTTAATTAAATCTACTCTCACTGATATGAATTGTGATTATGTAACCGACAGAATTTAGGAGTCATTCAGCCCATGGTTTGTTGGAATAGATTAGATAAGAGACGCAATGAGCCAATTTGAGCCTGTGCTCATTGACCCATATAGTGCTGAGGTCTCGGCTCAAATTCAGTATCCGGTTCTGGGACTACACTGTCAGTGATACTGCTGGTAATATCTCCCAGGACCTATAGAGCATCCAGCTATCTTACCGTAAAGGACTATTAACTGTGCAGTCATGAATAAACCTTATTTGGCAAGCACCAAAATGACAATCACGCACCAAACGCTTACTTCTCTTAAATTTTGTGCACAAATTAGTTTACATCCCTGTTAGTGAGCATTTATCCTTCGCCAAGATAATCCATCCACCTGACAGGTGTGGCATATCAAGAAGCTGATTAAACAGCATGATCATTACACAGGTACACCTTGTGTTGGGGACAATAAAAGGCCACTCTAAAATGTGCAGTTTTGTCACGCAACACAATGCCACAGATGTCTCAAATTTTGAGGGAGCGTGCAATTGGCATGCTCACTGCAAGAATGTCCACCAGAGCTGTTGCCAGATAATTTAATGTTCATTTCTCTACTATAAGCCGCCTCCAACGTCGTTTTAGAGAATTTGGCAGTACGTCCAACCGGCCTCACAACCGCAGATGGCCTCACAACCGTGTATGTCGTCGTGTGGGCGAGCAGTTTGCTGATGTCAACGTTGTGAACGGAGTGCCCCATGGTGGTGGTGGGGTTATGGTATGGGCCAGCATAAATTACGGACAACAAACACAATTGCATTTTATCGATGGCAATTTGAATGCACAGAGATACTGTGACAAGATCCTGAGGCCCATTGTCGTGCCATTCATCCGCCGCCATCACCTCATGTTTCAGCATGATAATGCACGGCCCCATGTCGCAAGGATCTGTACACAATTCCTGGAAGCTGAAAATGTCCCAGTTCTTCCATGGCCTGCATACTCACCAGACATTTTACCCATTGAGCAAGTTTGGGATGCTCTGGATCGACGTGTACGACAGCGTGTTCCAGTTCCAGCCAATATCCAGCAACTTCACACAGCCGTTGAAGAGGAGTGGGACGACATTCCACAGGCTACAGTCAACAGCCTGATCAACTCTATGCGAAGGAGATGTGTCGCGCTGCATGAGGCAAATGGTGGTCACACCAGATACTGACTGGTTTTCTGATCCACACCACTACTTTTCTTTTAAAGGTATCTGTGACCAACAGATGCTTATCTGTATTCCCAGTCATGTGAAATCCATAGATTAGGGCCTAATGAATTTATTTCAATTGACTGATTTCCTTAAATGAACTGTAACTCAGTAAAATCTTTGAAATTGTTGCGTGTTGCGTTTATAATTTTGTTCAGTATACATATGAACTAATATTTAGCTCACTATAATAAACCCCTTTACAATCCCCTTAAAGGGTCATTTCAACCCCAAAATTAAATGTGATGATGTTGAATCTGTCACGATCGTCGTAATAAGTGGACCAAGGCGCAGCGTGCTATGCGTACATATTTTAATGCGTACTTTGCACACTACAACAAAACAACAAAACGAAACGTGAAGTCCTCGGTCATACAACACAAACCTAAACGGAACAAGATCCCACAAATGACAAGTGCACAACAGGCTGCCTAAGTATGGTTCCAAATCAGAGACAACAAGACACAGCTGCCTCCGATTGGGAACCACCCCGGCCAACACAGAAACACACGATCTAGAAAAGAACACATAGAAAACAAAACATAGACACTACACATATAAACTAACACCCTGGCTCAACATATAAGAGTCCCCAGAGCCAGGGCGTGACAGTACCCCCCCCCCCCCCCCCCCCCCCCCCAAAGGCGCGGACTGCGACCGCGCCAACTAAACCCAACAGGGGAGGGGCCGGGTGGGCATTCCGCCTCGGAGGCGGATCCGGCTCCGGGCGTGACCACCACCCTCTAACTACCCCCCCCGTAGCGCCCCTGGTCTGGTCTGGCCCCGCTGGCTGGAGCTGGACTGGACATTGGTGGAGCGGATTGCTTAGGCTCCGGTGTGGAGCAGCTGACCGGTACCTGACCAGGCACCGGTGAAACAGGCACGGGCTGTGCCGGACTGACGACGCGCACCACTGGCTTGGCGCGGGGAGCAGGAACGGGCCGGACCGGGCTGACGACGCGCACCACTGGCTTGGTGCGGGGAGCAGGAACGGACCGGGCTGGCGACGCGCACCACAGGCTTGGTGCGGGGAGCAGGAACAGGCCGGGCCGGTCTGGCGACGCGCACCACAGGCTTGGTGCGAGGGGCAGGAACAGGCCGGGCCGGGCTGGCGACGTGCACCACAGGCTTGGTGCGAGGGGCAGGAACAGGCCGGGCCGGGCTGGCGACGCGCACCACAGGCTTGGTGCGAGGGGCAGGAACAGGCCGGGCCGGGCTGGCGACGTGCATCACAGGCTTGGTGCGAGGGACAGGAACAGGCCGGACCGTACTGGGAACACACACCACTGGCCTTGTGCGGGGATCAGGAACGGGCCGGACCAGACTGGTAACACACCCCAGTACCTCTCGTCGTGCCTCTACACTCTCCTTCCCTCTAATGACCAATGGCCCCTGTAACCTGGTGGCCTTCTCTCCTAGTCCACAATCTCGCCCTGTAGCTGCCTCCAGCAGCCCCGTCGTCCATGCCGTGTGCCCCCCCAAAAAAATGTCTTGGGGTTGCCTCTCGCCTGTCCGACGACGGCCCGGTTGGCGCCGCTTCTCCTCTCCTGCCTGGGTCTCCCCCTTCATCGCCCTCCGGTAACGGACGGCCTCCTCCTCCGTTATCCTCCCCCAACCGAGGAGGACATCTACCAACGTTACCTCCGGCGTTTGCTCCTGGAAACGCTGCTTGGTCCTGTTTTGGTGGGATCTTCTGTCACGATCGTCGTAATAAGTGGACCAAGGCGCAGCGTGCTATGCGTACATCTTTTAATGCGTACTTTGCACACTACAACAAAACGAAACGTGAAGTCCTCGGTCATACAACACAAACCTAAACGGAACAAGATCCCACAAATGACAAGTGCACAACAGGCTGCCTAAGTATGGTCCCCAATCAGAGACAACAAGACACAGCTGCCTCCGATTGGGAACCACCCCGGCCAACACAGAAACACACGATCTAGAAAAGAACACATAGAAAACAAAACATAGACACTACACATATAAACTAACACCCTGGCTCAACATATAAGAGTCCCCAGAGCCAGGGCGTGACAGAATCAACATGGAAAACTGAATGACATTTTTCAAAAGTCATCAACTTAAGGGAATTTCATATTTTTTTCACCCAAATTTGAACCTAAATCCAATGACGTTACATTTTTTGTTGATTTCACATTAGTTGACTACTCAACCAAATGTAAATCAAAACTAGACGTTGAACTGACGTCTGTGCCCAGTGGGACAGGTTTTTCCGTTGCACCATTCAGGACATTTTAAAATATTTGTTATGGGGCTAGACATGTAGACATTAGTCCACTCTGAAGTATTTTCCAATTGACCTCAACAACATTCATCAATTTGATATTTTACTAGGTTAATAATATGCTACCCAGGGAATTCAAAGTGCCAGCAGAAGTCCTATAGACACAGCTGTAACTAGGTTACTCACTTCTAAGGCCATACAGAGTGTTGTTAAAGTGCGTCCAGTGAGAGTTCTAAGTAGGTTACTGTACGGAGCATCCTCCATTACAACCTCAAATAGGTTACTCACACAATGATTCAATTGCGAAGTAACCTACTGTAACATATTTGTGCACAAGGACCACTGTGAGTGTGCCGTAAATAGGCATGTTGTCATGCAGACAGATGTCCAATAGAGAGGAAGAGAAGATATGTTGATGTTGGGCTCATTGAGAAAGCGTGTGGTGCAAGGCAAACTTGGTTGCATAGCTATCTGTAACAACATGTAGTTGGACTAGGACATCCCTCCTTATTCCACTCTAGGAAACCCCTTTTTGAAGCAAAAAGTGGCAAACTGTATATATTTTATACCCATGCCCATCTTCTTTAAAAGAAAAGTGCTTCCAGTGTGTGTGTGTGTGTGTGTGTGTGTGTTTTCACGCTCAGCTACTGCCGTAACTGGCTCTGGATTCCTAACAGATGGGATAGTCTCCTGGCAGAGACAGCCATCACATCAGCTTACAGAAAATGTGATGGCTTTGTGCAGTCAGGCTTTTGATCCTGTCAGTAACAAGTTTGTCCTCACCCGGGAAATGTGGTGTGTGCTCAACCCTGGCAGGAGTAGAGACGCTTCCTGAATCTAATATCCCATTTCTCCCACACACACACTTTTTATTTGAGGGGGACTTCAGACCTTGATATCCTATGCACCCCATCTTGTAGCCTACCACTATTTCCCTTTTCATTGGGTAATTGTACATATTTAGTCTCTTGGGTTTTTACGGCATTCATTGCATTTGCATATCCCTCCTGTTTTAGGGTAATCCAGTATATCTGAGCTGTTTTACAGGTAGGCCGCTCATAATTTGCCCACTGTATCCTAAGTGGTAGTAAGTGAGCCAGCTAGGGGTTAACTGGGTTAACTGTGTCAGACCAGCCCAGACTAGCTGAGGCTGCGTTCCAGTACTATGTCACCCCTGCTATCCACTGGATGGATGGGCTCTGTGGCGGACCCTGGCAACATGCCCCATACCTGGGAGTCTGTGAGAAGCTTCAGTGGTCACACACTGGCAGGAAGAGAGGCACAGGGAGAGAGCGATGAAGGAGCAATATTAGATTGCTGTATTGAGTAATGAAGATAGAAAGGAATTGAGTATGGCAAAGGGACAGAATGTGACACAGTGAACTGATTGAGAAATGTGATATGGGGTGAGGATCGACAATGAAGAGGTTAAAGGGGCCACTCAGGGTTGAGAGAGAGAGAGAGAGAGAGAGAGAAACAGGACAGCAAGGGAGGGGTACTTGACCTTTAAGAGCCCTCTGTGTGAAACCTCAATTTATTCTCAATTAATTCTCTATTCAGCTGTGCTTTATTGCCATGCATAAGTTTCAGAAATTTTGTCAAGGACAGCTAAAAATAACACAACCCTCTTTCAACAACAATGAAATGCCAATGATCCTTAACAATGGAACGCCTGCCTTGCATTATTGCTCATTGAGCACCCACAGTCACCATCGGTTGAATTTTATGAAATGATGATAATATGTGGAGACTCGTGAAATTAAGTAGGTAATTTTACATTGTTGGTATTTAACAAAGTGAGTCAGTACACTCTGGCTATCTGAGGGTATCCATTGTCCTCCTGCTAAGTGGCCTCTCCTCTGACAGTGGCCAGGCAGCATTACAGTGTTATGGCCTTGAACAGAGCAGGGAGCTGAGCTGACTCACACACTCAGCAGTAGCTGGTCAGTCCTCAGTGAACAGACTTCCAAGCTAGGACTTATTGAATAGTAAGCACTGTGGAGGGAAGAGGAGAGGACATCAGGGCTACAGAGAAAATGTACGGAGTTTCAAAATCTTAAGTCTAAAGTCAGTTTTAAGCATATCCATTATAAAACGGCTAATTAGGAAATATGCATACTGTGCCATATTCCACAAATAAGAACTCATGTATACACAGACATTATATTACTTCTCACTAACTCACAGACTGTCTCATCTACTTTGTATTATCTGAGCACTGTTACTGCTTCATACAGTTGAACTGGTGGTCCTATTTGTGGTAGAGGATGTCAGTATTCTCTCAGCAGAGGGTCTCTGAATCAGCACTGAGACTCCGTAACAATGCCATAGCCAAGGGTCATACAAAGACCTAAAACAGACAGCACAATACTCCTCTGGAGCTGTGTCACTGTGACGATGTCACTGTGACTGCACTGTAAACTCTCATTCCACAGAATAAGGCATCCATCATAAAGCTCTGTCTCCAACAGCTTTGCCTGCGCTTTCTTAAGGCTGCTACACAACGTCTTCCATTGAATCATTTTTCTCATCACTTCTTTTTGCTACAATGCCATGGCAGCCAGCAGTGAGGCAATGTTTCCAGGGCAACAGAGGCACCTCACGCCTCCAGACCCCCACAACAAGATCAGAACAGATATGGAACAAAGAGTCTTACTCTGTGTGTGTGCACGTGCACACATGCATACATGTGTGTTTATAGAAGCGTGTGGGTTAACGTAAGAGACGGGTGAGGGTGAGGTCACTCTCGGACTTGACATGCACCACGAGCACTGGGTCATGCAGGAGCAGTGAGTGGGTCCAGAGCCAAGCCTGTGGTTGTTGCTTGTACTGTATGTTGCTGTCACGGGAAGATAGAGATAGTGTATCTCTCTACAGGTAGCAATCACTCAAGTCTCAATCCTCTCTCCTGAATCTCCCTCCAACTTCCACGCTCCTTTCAATCTCTCTCCCTCTTCTTCCCTCTTTCTTGCTCTTTTTTGATGTCCCTGTTCTCAAGGACACTTACAGTGCCTTGCAAAAGTATTCACCCCCCTTGGCGTTTTTCCTATTTTGTTGCATTACAACCTGTAATTTAAATGGATTTTTATTTGGATTTCATGTAATGGACATACACAAAATAGTCCAAATTGGTCAAGTGAAATGAAAAATATAACGGAAAAGTGGTGTGTGCATATGTATTCACCCCCTTTGCTATGAAGCCCCTAAATAAGATCTGGTGCAACACATTACCTTCAGAAGTCACATAATTAGTTAAATAAAGTCCACCTGTGTGCAATCTAAGTGTCACATGATCTCAGTATATATATATACACCTGTTCTGAAAGGCTGCAACACCACTAAGCAAGGGGCACCACCAAGCAAGCGGCACCATGAAGACCAAGGAGCTCTCCAAACAGGTCAGGGACAAAGTTGTGGAGAAGTACAGATCAGGGTTGGGTTATAAAAAAATATCAGAAACTTTGAACATCCCACGGAGCACCATTAAATCCATTATTAAAAAATGGAAAGAATATGGCACCACAACAAACCTGCCAAGAGAGGGCCGCCCACCAAAACTCACGGACCAGGCAAGGAGGGCATTAATCAGAGAGGCAACAAAGAGACCAAAGATAACCCTGAAGGAGCTCCAAAGCGGAGGTTGGAGTATCTGTCCATAGGACCACTTTAAGCCGTACACTCCACAGAGCTGGGCTTTACAGAAGAGTGGCCAGAAAAAAGCCATTGCTTAAAGATAAAAATAAGCAAACACATTTGGTGTTCGCCAAAAGGCATGTGGGAGACTCCCCAAACTTATGGAAGAAGGTACTCTGGTCAGATGAGACTAAAATTGAGCTTTTTGGCCATCAAGGAAAACGCCAATTTCTGGTGCAAACCCAACACCTCTCATCAACCCGACAACACCATCCCCACAGTGAAGCATGGTGGTGGCATTATCAAGCTGTGGGGATGTTTTTCATCGGCAGGGACTGGTAAATTGGTCAGAATTGAAGGCGCTAAATACAGGGAAATTCTTGAAGGACCCCTGTTTCAGACTTCCAGAGATTTGAGACTGGGACGGAGGTTCACCTTCCAGCAGGACAATGACCCTAAGCATACTGCTAAAGCAACACTCGAGTGGTTTAAGGGGAACCATTTAAATGTCTTGGAATGGCCTAGTCAAAGCCCAGACCTCAATCCAATTGAGAATCTGTGGTATGACTTAAAGATTGCTGTACACCAGCGGAACCCATCCAACTTGAAGGAGCTGGAGCAGTGTTGCCCTGAAGAATGGGCAAAAATCCCATTGGCTAGATGTGCCAAGCTTATAGAGATACCCCAAGAGACTTGCAGCTGTAATTGCTTTAAAAGGTGGCTCTACAAAGTATTGACTTTGGGGGGGTGAATAGTTATGCACGCTCAAGTTTTCTGTTTTTTAGTCTTATTTCTTGTTTGTTTCACAATAAAAAATATTTTGCATCTTCAAAGTGGTAGGCATGTTGTGTAAATCAAATGATAGAAACCCCCAAAGAATCAATTTTAATTCCAGGTTGTAAGGCAACAAAATAGGAAAAATGCCAAGGGGGGTGAATACTTCCGCAGTTTTAAGGAACAAATGCAATGCTAGCTGGTGAATATGTAATCTAAAATTATTTTTTTCTAATTGGGAACAAAGCAAGGCATCATTGGAGCTTTAGCTCTACGCCCACACATGAAATCTCAGTGCCTATAATTGAATCTGAAGCTGAGGCAGCAGCATCCAGCAGCAGCAGCAGTCTGCCATAGCCACCTGTTTTGTTCAGTGGAGCTAGGCTGTTCGACTGCCATTGTGTACTTTACTGATCTCTTCTTCCTGAGTATTAGTGTGTGTGGTATGGTGTTGTTCTCTGTCTTTTTTGGGATGGTTCCCAAGCTTTTTGGAAGCATTTTGGCAAGCCCAGGCTGGCCCATTTGTAAACATTGAAATGTTTGTGGCTCAACAGTCTTTTCTGTATGTTAGTCTTTCCTTGTCTTTCTGTACATTTGATTCAGTGAGCGTTACACACATCTCTGCTGAATCGCACAAAGAAGCAGTCCAGTCTATACTGTTGGTAGTCATGGAAACCTGAAGTCTCCTCTTTGGTGAAAGCCATAGTGCCAAAGTTAATAGAGTACAGACACTGATACACCCCTTACCAATAGCGCAAACATTGTAATTACAACAGGTGTTACTGCACAACCATATATCTATGTAGGGGGTAAATCCATTTTAATTCAATCACTATTTGACAGCATCCCTTTTGACTTAAACAGAACTTACCATACATGTTTGCCCATGGAAGAAGTGGTCAGAAAGTTGACCCATTTTGCATACCCCACCATACCATGAGACATGCATCTCTTCATCACTGGAAAAGATAAATGGTTGAGTTTGATATAATTTAAACGCTTACAAACACGGTTGTCAAACTATTGGTAAAGAAATTGGGGGGAAATCATACTTTTCTTTACCTTTCTTTACCTTTACCTACGTCAATGATCTAAAAACGCGTAGACTCTACTTTACATCATCTGAGGTTTTTGTGTTGTGCCACCATCAGTTCAGACACATCATGCTCTGGAATACAGGGTGGGTGTCATTTCAATCATAGAAATATATTTAATAGAATGGACCTATCCCTTCAGACCACTGCAATTTAGCTGGTACACCATTGAAATTGAATTTACATTTTTACTTATAATTACTACCAAAATGATGGCCGCCGGTCCAACCACCTTCGAATGTCAACTTAAATGGTCATGTCTATTCTATTATCTATATTTCTATGATTTCAATAGGCTTCCTATGGTCCAGTGTAGCTCAGTTGGTAGAGCATGGCGCTTGCAACGCCAGGGTTGTGGGTTTGATTCCCACGGGGGACCAGTATGAAAATGTATGCACTCACTAACTGTAAGTTGCTCTGGATAAGAGTGTCTGCTAAATGACTAAAATGTAAGCAATTTGGGTAAAAAAAATGGATTTTCACATAGTCAAATGAATTTATTGTGTTAGAGGTTTCATGATGCTTGTATCTAACTGAAGTAGATCATTTTAAGATTGTTCTATACATCAGTTTGGGTCTCTATAAGCTTGAATATGAGGTCCTAAAACTAGCATGAAAGTGCATCCTTGTAGCTGTGTGGGCTAATATAGTCAAAATGTTTGCCTTGGGGTAAGTTGAGCCAATGGAAAGTGTTTTTATGTGTTTTCTTCCCAGGCGTAATGCAAGGCATTATCGCTGGGATATGAGGTAACAACAGGCCTGGCCTATGTTAAAATAAAAATACAAAGTGTTTGTTTGGTGTTAAGCTTGTGTTAAAGGATGCTTAAATTATTAAAAGACAAAAAAGCGATTGTGTTGAATTGTGTTTGCGAAATAAAGATAGACATGTAAAAACTGTAGTGTTTACATGAATTCTGATTATTTCCAGGGATACACAAAATCTTGAAATATATGGAGATATCTTTTGTTAGGAAGAATACTATATTTCCCTTGACGGAGTGATGCTGAATGTAAAAAATGGCTCAATTTACCCCACTCTCCCCTATGGAAGGTTTCATCAAATCAAAAGGGTTGCTGTCAAAAAGTGATTGAATTCAAATTGATTTACCCTTCCTACATTGTTGCTCTCTGTGAGCGCTGTATTGTATTGTGATTGCATAATTGCCAGCATATTATGGTTGAGTCACTGTGTAACATTATTTGGTGATTGTCCCTTTCTTTCTACATGTCATCTCTGGTCTTTGTCAGCAGAGTGCCTTAGCCCTACTGCAGAGACTCTCTCTTTTCATCTATAAGTTCTGGTCCCCAGAGAGGCCTAAAGATAGAAGCACATCCTCTGTTCTGTCCTCAGAGACAGGCCTGAGAGGGAGAGGGAGATGAGGTCTTTGGGAGGAAAGAGGAAGTCAAAGAGCATGAACAGGTAGAGATGGAAAGTGGTTTTAGGCTGAAGCAGGGGAATATGGGAGATGGAGAATCTGCTATACTGTGAGAACAAACTCTAATTCTGTTCAATTAGATATGCTCCTAATGAATTGGGCTTTGTTTTGTTTTGGATAGTTTTTGTTTGGGAATATGGTAGCTGAACAGACTTGACAAGCACCAAATCACAAATGTAACATCTGATAAACATAATTATTGTGTGCCATTCTGTGTCTGGTAGGGTAGGCATAATAAATCATATTTTTCAGTAGGTTTGTGTTTTGTGTGTGTATATATAAAGACCAAGGGAAAGAGTAAAGGCCGAGAGGGGCTAAGACAACAAGGAGGCTTTCTTCACAGCCGACACAATACCTTGAACGACACAAAAGCTTTAAAATCAAAAACTGTCATAAAGTAAAATACCAAGGTAAATGTCAGTATCTCTATTCCTGGGAATCACCACAATGCCTGTGTGTTATGAATGCACTATTGATTCACACCCTCACTGCTTTTATCTCCTCTCTCCAGGTGTCGACTGCTTCCTGAAGAGCAGTGTGTTGGTGTCTCAGGGGGACAGGGATCTGGGAACCAGGAGCTGTAGGAGCTACAGGAGCTACAGGGCCCATGCTGTCTATCTGCTCCTCTGTTCCCCTGTGAGGCTGTCTTTGTGTCAGGGATCGAGAGGTGGACACACACTTACAGCCAAGAACTGGCTAACAGCGGGACTAAACCACTCTGAAGGGCACTGGAGGGCCACTGGGCAGAAGGTTGGCATCTGGCTGGCAGAGAGCGGGCACTGTGGTGGGCAAGCAACGCAGCATTGAGATTACAGATTAGGAGATTAGAGAGAACAGCAGGTCAGGGCACATTATCCTGACAAAATCTGTACTTCCACCAACACCACACCGCAGAATTCAATTAAACCCTACAGCTCCTGCTACTGACAGGCAGTGGCCCATCCTCACACACACATACACATATACACAAAGAATCTCCACTGTTTGACAGCTACTGAGCTCCCCCATCCCTTCCCTCCTGTCCTGTTTGACGATCAGCACCAGATGGAGTGATGGGACTTTTTTTCAATCCAGTCACTCATTGCCTCACGGTTCCTTGGAGATCATTCATTGGTAAGCCGTTTTAAGGTTGTCATATCTACTTTTCTTAAGACTCTGGGGCAATCCCCTTTGTCATTAAGGTCAGAATGCTTTGATTACTTTGGGGGTTTTACTATATTCTGTTTTTAATCTGGCTGAAAACCACTGGAATTTAGACAGACAGAACCTGGACCCAGAGCATTAGGAGGGCTGGTAGATGCTCAGTCTGCCAACACAGGGACACACACCACTCACAACCTAAATAAGAACAAGACTACAGGGCACCAGGCCCTATGTTTCAGGGGAGAAGAACACAAGGTCCTGAGTAGCTCTGCTAGTCTCAGAATCTCTGAAGTGGTTCTACTGACAGAAAAAAAGCTTGAGCGAGACAGGGGCATAGAGGTGAAAAGGAAGGAGAAGAGAGAGCAAGAGAAAGGGAGGTGGGGAGACGTGTTATTTGTTCAGGATGACTAGAGACTCGATGGAGCTTCTTTCATACCAGCCTGCCAGCAGTCTCCACCTTCTTCCACCCTCTTTCTCCCATCTAGCTTGCTAGAGCAAATCACTCAGAAGACTGCTTCAGCACTTCACAGAGGACTCCAAACGCAAGGGGCGGTCTAATCACATGGACGACTGAGATGACACTAATTACTCAGTACCTGACTTTTACCATGGATATCACTGTAGATGGAGACGACTGCTAACCAAGGTTAACACAGCGTGATAGGCTCTGACAGATTCTCAGACTCTAACCGTGTACAATTTGTGCAAGAGTTCGTCAGTTCCCATCCAGGACTTGAGCAGTGCTGTGTGTGGAGAGCCAGGACTGGGTGGAAGGTGTGAAGAGCGGCAGCCACGTGTGGAGAGACAGAGAGTGAGGGGAGCAACACACAACTCTGAGAGAAACTGTTTAGTGTGAGACACTGAGAGACGCACTGTGGTGCGGCGGCTCTCCCTCTCTCTGTTTGACAGGCTGGAAGAGTGTTCTCTCTGAGCCAGCGTGAGCCAGCCTGAACACTGAGTGGAGCTGAGGCCAGTAGGGTGGGGACAGTGGCAGGGAGTGGTGCATGGCATTGGGGGGGCCGGGTGCCGTCCGTCACCCAGCACCGGGAGGGGCGCTGGGGTTGGGGCTGGGTGTGGGGCGGACCTGTAGGGGCGAGGGGCCAGAGGTCAGGGAAGCTGAGGCCCTGGTTGACAGGCGGGGCCAACGTGGAGTGGGGGGGTCGGCCGGGGGCTAGCGGCAGTGGAGGAGGGGGCATGCGGTGCTCACTGAGGGTGTGGGTTCTGCTGGGCTCCCTGGGCCTGGTCTTTCTCACCTCCGTCTTCTTCTCCATCTCCCTGAGGGGGGGCGTCAGCCTGCCCTACCTGGACCCACCTGGATGGGAGGAGTCCCGCCGAGTCAAACTAGTGCCCAACTACGCTGGTGCCCACCAGCTAGGCCCTCTAGAGGGCATCCAGCAGGAGAAGACATGTGCCTGCCCCCGCTGTGTGGGGGACCCTGGGGTGTCGGACTGGTTCGATGAGAACTACGACGCGGACATCTCCCCCGTGTGGACACGGGATAACATCCAGTTGCCTTCAGACGTCTACTATTGGTGGGTGGTAAGTGATCCAGTTGAACACCATCTATTTCTACTCCATTTTACCCATCTTCTTTCGTTCTCATGGTCTCCATGGAAAGAATGAGAGCAGCTCTGACAATGATATTAAAAGAAGGAAAGCACTGGGTGAGTCTGTTAAAGAGGACATTGAGTAATGTCTGAAAATTGAAATTAACAAGTCAGACAGAGCTGTAAAAGTTCCTGGAAGTTCTGTTTGAATTACTGTCAGGAAAGCAAGCCTATGTGATTACTTGGCCAAAAAAGGTTGTTATTTCTAACACTAACGTAGAGGAGGGGTGGGTTTGTGTGAGTTCAGAGGTTTAGCCTATTTAGTGTCACGTCCTTGAGTTGCTGGCTTTATATATATCCCACTAGATAATTAGGTGAGATTGTAAACAGAGGAAGACCAGCCAGTGCCAAGCCAGTAAGTGGTGTAAAGTAAACGAGATTAGAGAGAAGAGGAGCAAATTAGGTAGGGAAAGGTGAAGGAGTGCATAGATTAGGATTAATGCATCTCCTGTCAAGAGTCTGCACTTTTGAGTTGGTTAGAAGATATTGTTTTAGGAACATATCTCTCATGGAATTGGCTAGTCTTTGAGCAGAGTGCAGGCCCCTTACACTCTCAGAAAAAAGGTTACAGTTAGGGTACAGTATTGTTCCCGGTGGTACAAAAATATTAAAATACACATAATGTACCTTCAGAGGTGCACATATAATCTCTGTTCGGTGCCTTTTAGAGTACATGTGTGGATAATCTAGTATAATGGTTCACTTTAGTACCCAATATTTTGAATATAAAGGTACAGTGCATTTGTAAAGTATTCAGACCCCTTCACTTTTTCCACATTTTGTTATGTTACAGCCTTATTCTAAAATGTATTAAGTTGTTTTTTCCCCTCATCAATCTACACACAATACCCCATAATGACAAAGCAAAAACAGGTTTTTAGATTTTTTTTCAAATGTATAAAAATAAAAACGGAAATATCACATTACATAAGTATTCAAACCCTTTACTCACCTTTGGCAGCTATTACAGCCTTGAGTCTTATTGGGTATGACGCTACAAGCTTGGCACACCTACATTTGGGGAGTTTCTCCCATTCTTCTCTGCAGATCCTCTCAAGCTCTGTCAGGTTGGATGGGGAGCGTCGCTGCACAGCTATTTTCAGGTCTCTCCAGAGATGTTCGATCGGGTTCAAGTCTGGGCTCTGGCTGGGCCACTCAAGGACATTCAGAGACTTGCCCAGAAGCCACTCCTGCGTTTTCTTGGCTGTGTGCTTAGGGTCGTTGTCCTGTTGGAAGGTGAACCTTCGCCCCAGTCTGAGGTCAATTGAATTTACCACAGGTGGACTCCAATCAAGTTGTAAAAACATCTCAAGGATGGTCAATGGAAACAGGATGCACCTGAGCTCAATTTTGAGGGTCTGAATACTTACACTACCGGTCAAAAGGTTTAGAACACCTGCTCATTCAAGGGTTTTTCTTTATTTTTACTATTTTCTACGTTGTAGAATAATAGTGAAGACATCAAAACTATGAAATAACACATATGGAATCATGTAGTAACCAAAAAAGTGTTAAACAAATATATATTTTATATTTGAGATTCTTCAAATAGCCACCCTTTGCACACTCTTGGCATTCTCTCAACCAGCTTCATGAGGCAGTCACCTGGAATGCATTTCAATTAACAGGTGTTCCTTCTTAAAAGTTCATTTGTGGAATTTCTTTCCTTCTTAATACGTTTGAGCCAATCAGTTGTGTTAAACCCCTACAACTTATCCAGAACGCTGCAGCCCGTCTGGTGTTGGACCATCCCAAGTTCTCTCATGTCACCCCGCTCCTCCGCACACTCCACTGGCTTCCAGTTGAGGCTCGCATCTACGAGTTGGTGCTTGCCTACGGAGCTGTGAGGGGAACGGCACCTCCTTACCTTCAGGCTCTGATTAGACCCTACACCCAAACGAGGGCACTAGGTTCATCCACCTCTGGCCTGCTAGCTCCCCTACCTCTACGGAAGCACAGTTCCCGCTCAGCCCAGTCAAAGCTATTCGCTGCTCTGGCACCCCAATGGTGGAACAAGCTCCCCCACAACGCCAGGACAGCGGAGTCACTGACCACCTTCCGGAGACACTTGAAACCCTACCTCTTTAAGGAATACCTGGAATAGTATAAAGTAATCCCCCCACTGGCTATCATAAGTTGAATGCACCAATTTGTAAGTCGTAAATGTAAATGTGTTGTGACAAGGAAGGGGGGGTATACAGAAGATAGCCCTATTTGGTAAAAGACCAAGTCCATATTATGGCAAGAACAGCTGAAATAAGCAAAGAGAAACGACAGTCCATCATTACTTTAAGACATGAAGATCAGTCAATACGGAAAATTTCAAGAACTTTGAACGTTTCTTCAAGTGCAGTCGCAAAAACCATCAAGTGCTATGATGAAACTGGCTCTCATGAGGACCACCACAGGAATGGAAAACCCAGAGTTACCTCTGCTGCAGAGGATAAGTTCATTAGAGTTACCAGCCTCAGAAATTGCAGCCCAAATAAATGCTTCACAGAGTTCAAGTAACAGACACATCTTAACATCAACTGTTCAGAGGAGACTGTGTGAATCAGGCCTTCATGGTCAAATTGCTGCAAAAAATCCACTACTAAAGGACACCAATAATAAGAAGAGACTTGCTTGGGACAAGAAACACAAGCAATGGACATTAGACTGGTGGAAATGTGTCCTTTGGTCTGGAGTCCAAATTTGAGATTTTTGGTTCCAACCGCCGTGTCTTTGTGAGACGCGGTGTGGGTGAACGGATGATCTCCGCATGTATATTTCCAACCGTAAAGCATGGAGGAGGAGGTGTTATGGGGTGGGGGTGCTTTGCTGGTGACACTGTCTGTGATTTATTTAGAATTCAAGGCACACTTAACCAGCATGGCTACCACAGCATTCTGCAGCGATACGCCATCCCAACAAGTGCTCAGCATATGTGGGAACTCCTTCAAGACTGTTGGAAAAGCATTCCAGGTGAAGCTGGTTGAGAGAATGCCAAGAGTGTGCAAAGGCAAAGGGTGGCTATTTGAAGAATCTCAAATATAAAATATATTTTGATTTGTTTAGCACTTTTTTGGTTACTACATGATTCCATATGTGTTATTAAATAGTTTTGATGTCTTCACTATTATTCTACAATGTAGAAAATAGTTAAAATAAAGACAAACCTTTGAATGAATAGCTGTTCTAAAACTATTGACCAGTTATGTATGTAAATAAGGTATTTCTGTTTTTTATTTTGAATACATTTGTAAACCTTTCTAAAAACCTGTTTTCACTTTGTCATTATTTACATTTTACATTTTAGTCATTTAGCAGATGCTCTTACCCAGAGCGACTTACAGTTAGTGAGTGCATTCTTTTTTTTTTGCATACTGGCCCCCCGTGGGAATCGAACCCACAACCCTGGCGTTGCAAGCGCCATGCTCTACCAACTGAGCTACACAGGGCCATTATGGGGTATTGTGTGTTGATTGATGAGGATTTGTATTTATTTGATCCATTTTAGAATAAGGCTGTAATGTAACAAAATGTGGAAAAAGGGAAGGGGTCAGAATACTTTCCGAATGCACTGTACAATCTTCACACACTCTCAAAAACCTTGACCATCTTTGTCATATTTCCCAACATGCTCTATTGCAGGTAAATTTTTTAAATTTATTTTTTCAATGTGTTCTTTGCATGCACATTGATTGATTGATCTTAAGCTACACAAAGGTAAATAACATACGTTTTTCTAAACTAATCCAATCTCTTAGTGGTTGGATTTATTGCACCTGTTATTGACATGGTTGTTCCTGTTTAGATGATTTAGGTAGTCATACATTTTCTATACCTGGGCAGTCATTCAAAATGCAGGCTGCGGGTGATTTAAAAGTTCACATTTTGGGATATCTGAACTCTGCCTAGGTATAGAAAATGTATGACTACCTAAATCTGGATTCCAATAGTAATAAAATTACTTTGCAAGCCATCATAATGTGACTTGCTCGATGTGGCCTGCTAACCATGAGTTTCAGACCACTGTGTTCGGGGTTAAACTAGGCTGTAAAAGGATGGCCTTAAGATATATTGTCATCAAGAATTTAATTTCAATTATAAAATATTCACTTAGGCACTCACTTGAAGGCTACAGGACTGAAAGCCATTGAATGCAACAACCATGTCTCTGTCACTAGCAAACACAGTCATGGGTGGTACTGGTAACTCTGAAATTCACTTGAAAGGTACCCTGGGAAATATGTAAATAAGGCTTTACACCCTACAGTGTTAAAACAACACCCCAAAACCTTTTTAGAGGAACATTTTTGCCTCTTTAAAGGAACAAACTGCTTTGTCACTGTGGTGGTACCCTAAAAGGGCAAATGTGTACCTTTTCCAAAAGTACAGGTACAAAAGCATACCATCTTGTCCCCTAAGGTACACTATCGGCTCTTTTGAGGTACGAACTGCAAGGGTACAATTATGTACCTATAACTAAAGGTACAAAGGAAGTACCTTACATGGTACCACTACAGTGACAAGCATTTGTATCCCTTTAAGAACACATCTAAACCTTTATTTTTGAGTGTATAAGGTATATTTATACTGAGTGTACAAAACATTAACAACATCTGCTCTTTCTATGGCATAGACTGACCAGGTGTAGCCAGGTGAAAGCTATGATCCCTTATTGATGTCACTTGTTAAATCCACTTCAATCAGTGTAGGTGAAGGGGAGAAGAGGTTAAAGAAGGATTTTTAAGCAAGGTGCAACTCAATATTAGGAAGGTGTTCTTAATGATTTGTACACTCAGTGTATATACCTGGTATAAGGGAGAGGTGGTAGAGCAATGAAGAGTATAGTCATAGTTTCTCTCCAATGAAGCCTGAGAGGGGCAGAGCAGAAGCAGAGCAGTAAAGACACTGTTTGGCAGCAGCAGTGCCCACTGAACATCTGCCAAGAATTAGTGACCCTGCAGAAATCCGCTGTGCAGTGCCAGGCGTTGGCATCGAGGAGAGGGAGAGAGATGAGAGAGGGAGCAAGGGAGATGGAGGAAAGGATAGAGGGGGAGCAATGGGGAGAGAGGAAAAGAGAGAGACAGTGAGAGGGTCATGCAGGGGAAACTGAGAATTGGGGGTGGCAGGGGGGAGTAGCTGTGTGAGGAGAGAGATGGCGAGAGAGAGAAAGAGGGTTGTTTGTGGGAGAGGGAGAGGTATTTGAAGTGGGTGCCAATAGCCTGATGGAACTGTTTTGTTTGTTTGTTGGGAGGTGCTCAGATAGCAAAGTGTTGAAAAACAGCCTCTCAGTTTCACCTTCAATGTTTATACATAGATGTCCTCTCTCTCTCCATTTCCCGCCAAAACATCTCACCTCTTTTCACCTTCATTTAAATATTCAGTTTCCTTTTCTTTTTTTCATGAATCACTACTACACCCTCCCCCTCTGCCCTATTTCGACATCCTGGTGGAGGAAAGAGAGGAGAGTGTCCTTTCCTGCCCTCAAAACCACCTCTTCTTCTCCCACCCCATCCCCCTCTCCTCAGCCAGTCTCAGTGGCCTGTCCTCCCATTTGAGTCTATGGTACTGCCCCTGCCTGCTCTCCTGACTGTGCTGCCACTCTGTCGCCCCCTGCCTGTAGATGCTGCAGCCTCAGTTCAAGCCCCACACTATCCAGCAGGTGCTGCTGCGGCTGTTCCAGGTGATCCCAGGCCGCTCCCCCTACGGCTCTTGGGACCCCGCCCGCTGCCTGCGCTGTGCAGTGGTGGGGAACTCAGGCAACCTCCGTGGGGCCGGGTACGGGCCCACCATAGATGGCCACAACTACATCATGAGGTGAGGAAGGGAAGGAGGGTGGGGGGGGGGTAAGAGAGAGAGGATGTTTGTTTTCTAAAGCTGTTTATTAGCTATTAAGTTGTATTATACAGTGTATTATACTGCATTGTAAGCTATTGAAGGCTTTCGTATCTCTGCAGAACACTGTGTACCCTTATGGTTGGTGGGTGGGGAGGGGGTGTAGGGTGTCCTCAACAATGGGTTCTGCTGATGTCTTGAATCAGATTATGTTTGATGAAATCGTCCCTCCTCATTGGCTGGATGATTGGTCATGTGACCAGCAGCTCTCCCTAGGCTGCGGCTTTGTGTCTTAAGAAGATAAAAGCAGCAAAACATATAGATTCTAACGGTAATGCACTAAATCCTACGGATCCAATCCCTCTCACTGTCTGTCTGCAAACACAGACAGACACATACGTAGCATATACTCAAACAAACAGCACACATGCACAGCCATGCATACAGTACACTATGCAATTACACACACACATAACGCATACACAACCCATGGACAGGGATGAAAACAATCAGTGACAATATCTAAGCATGGGAGTGGGTTTGTGTATGAGAGCGGGGGGAGAGAGAGTGTTTTTAATGAAAGTAGAATGTGTGTGGGTGGATAAATAACAGTAATGAAACCCAGCATAGCATCCAGGGATCAGCAGCCATTTGCTGCTCTCAGAAGCCTGCCTGCGTGGGCCCAATCAGCTACTACTCTGTCTTCATGGTGTCTGTCTGTCTGTCTGTCGTTCTTCCCTAATGTCTTGATATCCCTCTGTCCGTGTCTGTCTGTCTTTGGAGCTGCTTCCAGCATGGTCTGATTCCCTGTGTCTGTCCTGTCTGTGTGTCCTTCAGGATCAACCTGGCCCCCACTGTGGGCTATGAGGAGGATGCAGGCAGCCACACCACCCACCACTTCATGTACCCAGAGAGTGCCAAGAACCTGGCAGCCAATGTCAGCTTCGTCCTGGTGCCGTTCAAGACCCTGGACCTGCTGTGGATCACCAGCGCACTCTCCACTGGACAGATCCGCTTGTAAGAGCAATGCTCACGCACACACATGCACGCACGCATGGATACAAACACACACACACACACACACACACACACACATTCACACTCAATCCAGCTCCATTTATATTGCTTTAAGACACACACACACACCTTTTCACACTAGCACATTTTGTTAATGTTCAAAGTGACCTGCTGCTTCACAACTTCACAAGCACGTTGCCACTCTCTCTCTCTCTCTCTCATCCCATTCCAGGTCAGAGAACATCATCAACAGAGCACTCTCTCTGTGGAAAAACGGGAACAACGTGCCATCTGTGAATTATTCAATCACTTAAAAGCAATTTAGAAAGTAAAGGATAAAAGAGTGTTAAATCTCTCTCTCTCTCTCTCTCTCAGTACCTACGCCCCTGTGAAGCAGTTTCTACGGGTGGACAAAGACAAGGTACTAAATCTATCATCATAATCTTTCCCTTCAATCTCTTATATGTATCAGTCAATGGTACTTTTCAACGGAACACAATTGTAGCTGAAGAACCCTTTTAGGTTCTAGATAGAATAAAATGTGCTAAGAGTGTAGCTGTGCTGTTGAGGAACTAGAGCAAGAACACTTGTAGTTATTTTGTTTGGAACACAACCCTGCATCCCTGACATCACACAATTACTGTTGTTGTTTACGCAATCCAAAAACAGTCCATTATGAATCGCAATCTGGGTCAGGTGGGCATAATTTAAAAGCTTATTCTATAGCCAGTATGACTAGCTAAGTTATACAATACGATAGATAGTGCAGTGTTAGGCTTTCACAATGCAATTCATGGAAACGGATCATAATGTGGTGAGCATAGAAAGGAGTGCATTCAGGTGCGTGTGTCGCGCCAATCCTCTTCACAGTAGACAAACGGGCTCATTCTGTTCAGAACAACCCAAGGTATGACGCCATGTCATCTTGTAAGTGTACATCAAACATAGTGATCATAAACGTTGACACTGTATATGACATGAGTTTTATGATATGGAAATGTGAAGTGCATATTTGGACTGACAGGTGTTTGGCTTGTTTGTATGACATCAAAGTAGTATTTATAATCCTCAACATCTCATCTTTCAAAATACATAGAGTCCTCTTAATTTACAGCATTTCCCTCACTCAGTCAACAAAAAATTTGCAAAAGTCTGCTTAAGACCTGTTTCTTAAGACCTGCCCAAAAGAGAAAAAAAATGTCTCTGTTAAAATGTAGATGCCCCAATGGCGGGTCATTGCCAGCTATTTTTGTTCATCGAGTTCCGGCTATTTCAGTGTTAAACGGCCATATAGCACTGCACATATGCTTTTGGTTCAAGTGCAAGTTGTCAAATTTGACGATTACTTGTGATTTATCAGGTCTTTGTTAATGGCTGCAGTTATGAAGCTTAGGAAATATGTAACTGAAATTGTTCAAGCAAGAAATTCATGCAATACAATTGATTCTGTAGATGCTCTGTTTTTCATTAAAATAAATGTTCTACTTTGTATTGTATACTTCTTATTTTACCATTGCATGTTTTAGGTAATTTCTTGCCATTGGTGGAGCTTCAGGTACTGTCTACTAATGTAGCCAGCTTCTGGGGAGAAACAAGTCATTTATAAATGTTTCTAAAGTATATATATTTAGTAAATGTTTTTTAAGGATCTACATTAATCAACAACTGAGGAAGTAAGTGCATGTACTAACATTTACAGATGCACTCATATAACAATTGATAAATATCCCATTCATGACATATATAAATACCTTATAAATAATCTTATGAATTGACAATAACTCCTTTATAACTGGTACATTATTAGTACATTATTCATCATTTACAAATTGTGAACATACTATGATCAAACACCTTATTAATTATCTTAGAAATCATTAATAAATCATTACAAATGTATAAATGTGTAAATGGCTATTTAGAGATTTCTTATTGACATTTACAAATGTAGGAAGAATTATTAATAAATGGTAAGTAAACTCTTTACAAACTTTTTATCTCCACAGGTTCAGATTTTCAACCCAGCCTTCTTCAAGTACATCCATGACCGCTGGACCAAGCACCATGGACGCTACCCCTCCACAGGCATGCTGGTCCTGTTCTTCACTCTGCACGTGTGTGACGAGGTGAGGTGCTCACAAACACACACACACACGTCTTTCGATCTGTTAAGATGAATATGATTTGTTGGTCTATCTGTAATGTTTGGAAACTTTGGTCTTGTTTTCCAGGTGAATGTGTTTGGCTTTGGCGCTGACAGTCGAGGCAACTGGCACCACTATTGGGAGGAGAACCGCTACTCTGGAGAGTTCCGGAAAACAGGGGTACATGACGCAGACTACGAGGCCCAGATCATTGACTCTCTGGCGAAGGCCGGAAAGATCACAGTTTTCCCTGGAAAGTGAGGAGAGCTGGAGGTGTGGTGGGCTGGACAGGACAGGCTTACAGGAACATTAGAGTACTCATCACCACCAGACTTCTTTACGTGCTTAGTTATCTGTTTCTTTGTGCTTTGCATAGAGAGGGTTCCAAAACACTAGATCATACGTTGCCTGATGACCCTGTTCCCATTGTGCAGTAGGGTAAGATGCTGGTAGTTGTGAGTGAAACTACATGTGACTACACACTCTGCCCCCAACAGGCCTACCTCCATAGCCCAAAGCCCTGAAGAGAAAGGGACGGTCAGAACTATAGGGCTCCTGTAGTGGGGGCAGAGAGGTCTGGCCTAGCCACTGTATGGACCTGTGAACCAGTCCCATCCACAATCCCACCTCCTGCTCATCCACAGGGGGTTGAGTCATCACATGCCTTAGGGGTCTCACACCCAGACTCCGCCCCATCCCACTCTGTAGCCCCCACCCTAAATGTCATGGCAACCAGTGACGGACACTGATCTATCCATGCCATGTCCACACCCACCTGTAGAGCTACTGCTAAAGCTCCCTCGCCCCTCGGAGCTGGGAGGACTAGGTAGTTGAAGTTTACGTGGTTGGAATCCCAGAGGCTACTTCAAAATAAGAGTTACTGTTGTAATTATATGACTATCATGTTGAAGGTATGTACGGCCCACAGGGATTTGATCACATATACAGTATTAACCGTTTTATTTGTTTTAACTATTTTAAGTGACTAATCATCCTACTAATTAGGTAGATTGGGGAGAGGCTTACACATGGTCAAAAACAACATAAGCAGACATAGAGAGATAAGACTAACACCACTCACTCATTAACATACACACACACTCTCCCACACATACACGAGTTCACACAATGTTCTTGATGAATTAGAGCAAATACCACTAAGTATTGGACTGAGTAAAAAGAGCTCACACTAAGATGACCTGCTGCCTCCTGCTGCCTGTTAAGGGATACTGCATCACTCTGAGGCCCAGACATTATGCATACATAGGACAAACTGAAGGCTGCCTCTTCTGTGTCATATGATGACCACTTGATAACTGAAAGTAATATGGCACAACATAACTAACCCGACTGCTAGTACAAAATGCCATTATATTTTCAGATCAGAGTTTAGGAACTCTGAAAAGGCAGGTAGCTTAGTCGGTAGCCTAGGCAGGTAGCTTAGCGATTAAGAGCGTCGGCCAGTAACTGAAAGGTCGCTGGTTCAAATCCCAGAGCCGACTCTGTGAAAAATCTGTCTGTGCCCTTGAGCAAGGCACTTAACCTTAATTGCTCCTGTAAGTCGCTCTGGATAAGGGTGTCTGCTTAAATGTAAAAACTCTATCTTCAGTCCTGGCTGCAATCGTTATTAGCCAATTTGGCAATGTGACATTCAGTTAAGGATGTGTGTTGTTGTGTAATCATATGATGATATGGTAAATACCATCATGTACTGTATGATATACTTGTATTATCTCTATCCTTTGCACATCATGGAGTTCTTATCTGACATTGAGTTGGGCAGATCACTGTAGCTGATTCCTATACATAACTCATTTCTGTGTGGAATTTTTGTTGGTTTCAGGTATGTGTCTCTACCTGACACACATACTTTAAGGACATCTACGGAGTGCCACTGAGTTTTTATCAGCCCTCACTCCTTACTGGTGTGTGTGTGAGAGAGAGAGAGAGTGCTGTAAAATTTTTTTGTGTGATTTACTTAGTTTTGTCAAAGTTTGATTTTCAGTGAGACCCCTCTCATAACAAAATAGACACATATCAGTAATTTACAGCCATGTGACAACACACACACATCCATGCTTGCGTGCCTTGTCCCAGTGTTGAACATACCTTTCTTGCAGTGCACCATAAACCTCAGTACACATGTGCTATCTTAAATTTGATTTAGTAGCCTGCGCAGGACATTCATACAAACACAAAGCCCCTTCTACTATGGGTACCGCTACTGTAATCTTAACAGCGTGTCAGTCATGTCTCTTACACACATTCTGAGGGCTTCACGTCTTCTCCCTGACATAGACCATACACCTTATATTAAACACACCCCCTCTGGTCTTACCTGGCTGAGAGCTGTGCCTTCTGGACCCATATGTTTCACTCTGCCTTTCTCTAGGAGCCAAGTACAGAGGCTTCCTTTATGTTGTTTAAACAGAACTCATTATCTAAAGATGAAAGAAAATCAACTTATCTGTGACTAGAAATGGGTAAAATTGATGACTATGGTTGTATTCATTTGCTCTTAATCTGTGTTTTGCCATTGTGTCTGTGATTCGTATCTGCTGAGCTAATGTGTTCAAGATGAAAGCTGATGGCATTGTGTCTAGTGGTTAAAACATATCTCCACCTTACGTCTGTGTAAGTATACCCAACACTTTTCTGGGTGGTACTACTAACCATGCCAGAAATAAAATGTGCAATACTTCACCAAAGAGAATCGAACACAATTGACATTGTTCTAATGATTGGACATATCTTTAATTCTATTACTCCCCATTACTTTTGTAATAACTCTATAAATGTTTATCCAACAGGACAAGACCCATATCTACTATATTAATAAAGTTAGCACATTGAAGCTGAACGCCACGTTCTAGCTCAACGTGCATCATTTTGTTTTCACATAGTAAGGATACAGTATGTTCCCTAATATGTTGTTCCATTGCTGTGTTCCCTGTGGGGAATTGACTGTGTGAAAGGAGAGAACTCCCTTTCCACTCTGCAGTCCCTGATAGTATCCTTCCGTAATGGATAGTTTTGAATGTATTTGAGTTCATCGGGTCTGGCTTGAGTGGCTTCTAGCGCTAGCTAAATGGTCTCTTATGAAGCAGCCATGCTGTTGCAGTGTTTTGATGGTTTTATCTCCAGCTCTTCATTAGAGGTCTCTTGTGCACAACAGTATACACCGACAACAGACTGTACGTACCATCAGTGTTACTATCATTATTACCAATAGTATCCTCATTAGTATTATGACTATCATTGGTTGTCAGTACTCCATATTTACTACTTAAAACCTCAGTGTGTGTGATGGACTGTTTTTAATCATATGCTATTGTAAAAATAAAAGCAACATGAAAAAAGGGTGGCTTTCTGGGTATTTTCTACAGTGGGGCAGTAAAAGAGCACTTGCAACACGTCAGCCCCGTACTAATGCTGGACATCGTTACCTGGAATCAGACAAATAGATAATCTTACCATCGCCCATAAACTACAGGAGACGAGAGATCTAAATACTAGTAGAAGTAGAAATCAAGTGTTATCAGTATTTTTATTCCACAACATGGAATGCATCAGACATGGACATCACAATGCATTCATAAGTGCCAATAAAATGCATTTCACCAAACTGACAATGTCATGTCATCCATTTATTTAATTCATTATTAATTGACTACATTAATATTGAGATGTCAGACAATAAGACTGTTACACAGCTGGTGGCGCTGACTGGTGCCAAGGTTACTGTTGTGAATGTACATTACAACTGCCAGGAAAGCCAGTCTGCAGAGACCACATCGCTCCACAGTCATGGAGGGGAAGTGAGACACAAACGCAATGACATGGAGAGGCCAATGAAATAGAGAGAAACAAGCAATGAACTGAAGCAGTTTACCGTTGAGTATTTCCATCATTAGTTAAAAGGTGGAGGAAGATGGGATGATGGAGGACTAATACTATCTACTACAGGACAGATCAGATAGGTGTATGAGGATGCTACCCCCCACATCCTATCAATCATTCGATCACCTAATCAGAGTGACCTCCTTCGACCACACAGATCTTGCAGAGAGCCATCAAATTGTGCATGGATGAAAACCATGGTATCCTCCATAAATTGCAGATGCATCTCCCTTTCAGAGAAAGAGGGCTATTGTATCTGCTTCCTTTCTAACCTTTGGATGGGTGAATGTTCCTATGGGTGAATGTTCCTATACAATTTTCTGGAACGTCCAGTTCAGAGACACAGAGAACAGAGCTGGAACATTCCAGTGGGGATGGTGGGGTTGGATCCAGGGGTCTTTCCCCATAATCCTTCACCACACCCCAGCCTCCTCGTCGTCCTCTATTAATTTTCACCCAGTTTAAGTTGGGCAAACTGGTTGGCCATCTGCAGTGCCTCCTCTATGCAGTGTGTGTTCCTGCCAGTGGCCTGGGCAGACATATCCTTGCCACCACCCTTGCCATCCATCAGAGGGCAGAGCTCCTGCACCCACTCACTGGCCTTCAGGCCCCGGTTGGCAACATCCTGGTAGAGGAGAGAGTCAAAAGATAAGATACTATCCCAACAAAAAAATGCAGGTTATTGCATTACGCACAAACAAGGAGCTAATCTGTGAATTATAGTGTGCATGAATGCAAACACACGTAGGTTGAGCGAATGGCTTACCTGGGGCACCTGGCATAAACAGATTATCTTTCCAGCATCGTTGTCTACTGTGAAGAGCATAGCAGCAGTCTGGGGGGAGTTGGTCTTCAGCAGTTTCAGAGACTCATTCAGAGCCTGTGACAGAGAAATACACAGTGACAGGGTTAGAAAATAGACTATATATTTCAGTCTAATTACACTTTTGATTCAAACTTAGGGATGACAATCTGTGCCGCGGTGTGTTGTAATTCTCCACAGTGGTAGGATTGGCTGTAGAGAAGATAAAAGGATGATGATGTTACTAGGGCTGTTGCGGTGACCGTATTACCGTCACAACGGCGGTCATGAGTCATGAAGGCAGTCAAATTTCACCTGACCGTTTAGTCACGGTAATTAGGCTTCTCCAAGCTCTGATGCTGCTGATGGTCATTAGTAGCCTACCAAACTTGCGAACTGCCTGGTACTCAGCACTCTATTGTCCCTCTAATCACTCTGACATCAATGCAAATGTGATCATGAGAGCCCAAGAGCTCATGTTGCGCAACAATTCTATAGGCTATGCAATTGCGTGAGAAAACAGTGATGACCTCTATTAAAAAGAGGAGGATCCCTTCAGCTTTCTATAGGCTACGCCTACTATATTTATTTCTCAACTTTCCTAATATTATGCAAATATTAAGCTTATCTTTACAACAGGAGTACAGCCTACCTGGCTGGCATGAAAATGAACCACAGGAAAAGCATCCTCCATTCGCTATTTAAGTGCAGAGATGACGTGTGCGCCTTGCTGCGCTTATTATGTGAAGAAATAGCCTAATCGTTTATCAACATTTTAAGCTAAACGTTCTGATCTGATGCGTCAGCCTCATTGCGTAAAAACTTTTTTTTGATGCTAGTGGTTGTACTAATTTGGGATCTATCACATCCCACAACTGTCCCAGTCTATGTTTGGAATATTTATATCTCGCACAGAATAGGTCAACTTTTATAGTATGGGGGATAGTAGATTGACATAGGCTAGTGCTTTTGCTGTTCATTAGGCCCACTCATCTTGTTGGCTGACGAAAAGTACATGTGTAATTGGATAAGGACGCACGCAGTTGCGTCCCCGATATGTCTGTCTTCACTTGTAGCCTGTGAGAAAGACCCGATCACGTGATGGAGAACTGTGTGAGTGAGATGAGAGGTGCTTCGGAGTGGGCAGCATTTAGGGAGAAAGGCTGCAAAAGGCATGTATTTCTTTAGGGTGCATTATGGCCACAAAGGGGATGCCGCAGGGAAATTCGAGACATTATCAAGTGCTTCTCAAATTGTGAATGAGAGACCGCGCAAAAAACCTGCGCAAAAAATAAAAGCTGAGCTCATGCCTTTCAAGCTACTTTTTTCCAATCATCATTAGAGTTCCTTCATGCATTCTTTGTTAATCGCACAACACAGAATAGCCGCATGTGCGCACTCCCTCAAATGTTTGGAGAAAATATTTATATTTTATTCAGCTTTGTTCAATTGTATTCTTCATACTATAAAATAATGGCACGGAATTCTAAGCAAATCTTGTCTGTAAATGAATTAGTGTAGACCACAGCCATATGGCACAGCTAGATCAGGACCTAACATAAGGACAACTCAGAGTATGCTATTCTGTTCTTCTGAAATAGACTACATTTTCTTCATATCATGTTTCTTTAGACCTGTCTAAAATAAATAATGGATTTATTGTGAAGGTGTAGGCTATATTACATGGATCTATTAGACTTTTTTAAATGTAGATGTTCCAAAGGTCTGCATCAGTGGCTTGTAGGCTATGTGTGGAAGCCAGGAGATGCTAAACGTGTTTATGTTAACTAACGGTCAATTACTTTGAGACCGACAGTTATTTGCTTGATAATCACCGGCTGACAAAATTGTGACCGCCACAGCCCTAGTTGTTACCTTGGCAGAGGCTCCACTTTCCATCTCCATGACTACCAGCGGCTGGTTAGGGCTGCTGTCAATCATCTCCTTGGTCTTTTCAAGAACCTGGGGGAGGGGAAGCAGAGAAAATATAGCAATGAAAGACCAGCTGAACCAGAGAACATTAGGAAAGCACCATTCATATAGAATGACCTGCATACTCCCCAACTACATAGCACATCAATTTCTATGACATGTAGTATCCCTTCACCCAGTAAAAAAAACCTCCACCAACCCCCCCAAAACCCCATGTCTGGCCCCTCTCTCTTACCCTTTTCTGGACGTCAGCCTTGCTGGCACGGTCCAGGTCATCCATGGTCTTCTTCAAGCCCTTCAGGGCCTCCCTCATCTTATCCTTCTGCCACTGGGAGATCACTGCCATGCCCAGAAACTGCAACAACACAGAACAGAGACATAGTAAGTAAACACACAGACAGACACAGCTCATTAAGGGCTGGATGTTCTGCGACAGCTCTCACCTCTGTCATGTCAGCGATTTCCTTCTGCACGTCTTTATTGGGGGCGGTCTGAACCTTCACCTTCTCCCCCAGAGCAGACAGAGACTGTCTCAGAGCATCTACTTTCCTCTGGGCCTGAACAGAGCAGGGAGGGGATGGGATTCAAGTTAACGTTAGAGCACAAAATAGTTACCGTTGAGTAAATAGCGGTTACGAAAGAGTCTTACGTATACCGATCATCACCCACTAGTCACTTTAATAATGTTTACATATCTTGCATTACTCATCTCATATGTATATAGTGTATTCTATAATATTCTACTGTATCTTAGTCCATGCCGCTCTGTCATTGCTCGTCCATATATGTATATATTCTTAATTCCATTCCTTACTCTGTATTGGGTATATGTTGTGAAATTGTTAGATATTACTTGTTAGATATTACTGCACTGTCGGAACTAGAAGCACAAGCATTGCTACACCTGCAATAACATCTGCTAAACACATGTATGTGACTAATACAATTTGATGTGAACATTTTACAAAAGTATAATGACAAACACAAATGTCAAGCATCCAGTAACGGTTGGGAACAGTTCTGTCCTCTCACCTTCTGTGCCTCTGCTCCTGTCACTGCAACGATACGGCGGATTCCCTTGGCGATGGCCTCCTCTGACACAATGACAAAAGGTGCAGCATGGCCAGAGTTCCGCAAGTGCCTGAAGTTTCAGACAGAATGTACGGAATACAACCGAGCAACAATCTCACAGTAAATTCTCAAACAACATCTCTGTATTTCTGAATCATGAGTTGTAACTTTGCAAAGTAACTGCAACCAAGGTGAGCTGTGTACTCACGTTCCTCCGCAGAACTCAATGGAGGTGAGGGAGCCGGCAGCGCTGCTGGGGTCAGCCAGGAGGTCAGCCACGGGGATACCAATGGACACCACGCGCACCGGGTCAGGGTAGGTCTCATCAAACACAGCACGCAGACCCTGGATGGCTTTAGCTGCTGCCAGGGGGGTATCCATGGCATAGACATGCTGTAGAGAGACAGAGAAAGAGCTGATGTCGTGACTTGGTAATACACGCTTGAAAACAGTGCATTCTGTGAGGAGGAGAAAAGGATGACAGGAGCCTTGGGGTGACATACTGTATAAAAGAAAACAGGAGACGAGACAGAATGTTAAGGTACAATAAGGCAAGGAAACAGTCAAGGAATACTCAAATAAAACAATAGACAACAGGCCTGAGATCAATAACACCAGAAACCAAAGAGCTCAGTGTAAAAACAACACTTGATCAAACAGAAATGAACATACCCCTACTCACACTTTCAATGACCTATGACCTATGACCTCTCACCTTTGCGTCGCGGATCATGGCGCAGGCAATCTCCTCTGTGCGTCGCACCTCTTCTGTGCTCAGAGCACCTTTGGCGGTGAAGTCAAAGCGCAGGCGGTCAGGAGCCACCAGGGAGCCACGCTGGTCAGCCTCTCCCAGGACCTCCCGCAGGGCAAAGTTCAGGATGTGGGTGGCAGTGTGGTTACTCATGATGGGCCTACGACGAGCCTGAGAGAGAGGGGGTGGAGGTTGGATAATAGACAGAGATGCAATCAATTTCTATAAATACCAAGTCAGTTAAGAAAATATCGACATTGAGTCATTAAAATGTACTTTTGAGTGATGCATTACCTCATCCACGTGCAGAATGACGTGATCTCCAACCTTCAGAGTGCCGTAAACCGTTCCTACATGCAGCACGTATCCACCCCGAACCTGAGTGTTCTTCACTGTGAACTCCATCCTCTGAGGAAGGGAGTAACATGTGGTAAGAAGGAGACAGAGAATAACATTCCATTTACATTTTAGTCATTTAGCAGACGCTCTTATCCAGAGGGACTTACAGGAACAAGGGCACATCGGCAGATATTCCACCTAGTGGGCTCGGGGATTCAAACCAGCGACCTTCCAGTTACTGGCCCAACGCTCTCAACCGCTAGGCTACCTGCCGCCAACATTCATGTCTAATATGGCTTTTACAACTGAAAAAGAGTGGCCTGTCTTCCATGTAGGTCCTTACATCATCTACACAGTCGTCCTCTCTCAGCATGTAGCCCTCGTCGAAGCTCTGTCCTCCCTGCTCAGCATAGAATGAAGTCTTGTCCAGCAGAACCCCACACTCCTGCCCTGTCGTCACCTCATCCACAAAGGCACGCTCCCTCCTCAGAGCCAGCACCGTGCCCACAGCCTGCTCAAACTCTGGGACAACCACAGAGAAATATACAGGGATTAAAACAGACACAAGCAAGAAAGTGATTTGAATAAATACCAAGCAAACAATCTTTGAGTTGGTTAATAAAACTGAGTTTATTTTATTTGGGTCTCTCACCATAGTTGCCGCTGTCGTCAGCACTGTAGCTGTACTTGAGTGTGTCGTCAGTAGCAGCGATGCCCTTGTTGCGTAAGTCCTCGATGGCATAGATGTCCAGCATGATGTGGTCCTCATCCCCAGAGCCCTTCCCCTGGGACTTAATCTGAGCGGGAGGGACATGGAGGAGACAGCCTTATCCCAATCTCTGTTCTATTTCCATTGCAAAAACCTGCAACTAACTTCACTCCAATGATGAATCAGTCATTCATTATGCGGAAACATCATACTCATTCTTTAGATAGAAAGCCAACTTGCATGCTTAGCACTGATATCATATTACATTATTGAAGTGATTTTGACCTTCACTCCAATGTGGAAAGGAGCTTTTCAGTATGAATTAACACTGCAAGTAATGGAGCTGTAATGTCTTGTAAATACTGATTTATCTAATAAGCAGAGCAAGGCACTACTCACTTAGTGCAATACTGACTGAGAAATGCTGACAGAGGAAAGCATTCATGTCTGTGTACATTCACAAAGCAGTACATTTCCAACCTCTACAGGCAAATTAAAAAATCCACATCAACTCCCATGCCAATCCAAGGCTCTATCTTTTCTACTGGTCTCCATTTCTCCACTCTCACCTGGGCAGCCTTCTTCTCCTCCTCAAAAGCAGCAACGTCCACCATCATCCCCCTCTCCTCAGCGATTAGGGCAGTGAGATCCAGGGGGAAACCGTATGTGTCATACAGCAACCAGGCGGTGTCACCTACACAGGGAGAGAAAGAAGAGAAAAGGGGGTAAAAAACATTCTGTTTTGACAAGGTAAATGTTTCTAATTAATAATTAATACAGTGAGGGAAAAAAGTATTTGATCCCCTGCTGATTTTGTACGTTTGCCCACTGACAAAGACATGATCAGTCTATAATTTTAATGGTAGGTTTATTTGAACAGTGAGAGACAGAATAACAACAAAAAAATCCTGAAAAACGCATGTCAAAAATGTTATAAATTGATTTGCATTTTAATGAGGGAAATAAGTATTTGACCCCTCTGCAAAACATGACTTAGTACTTGGTGGCAAAACCCTTGTTGGCAATCACAGAGGTCAGATGTTTTTTTTTTTTTTTTTTTTTTTTTTTTTTTTCTGGGGGGATGGATCAGCTTAATATTGCAGATAGATTGTATCTTCTATCAATGTAATTGTCTGCATCACTTCCAATCCCCCATGTTTTTTTTATTTTTTATATATATATTCCCCTTTATTACTTTTCAACCCCACCATCCTTTCCCTACTTGGAGTAAATTAGTGAACAACAACGCCCAGGCCTCTACTTCCGGTCTATACTTACTATCTACACCTTATGGACAGAGTTAATTTTACAATAATTCTATATCTATATATACAGTGGGGGAAAAAAGCATCCAGCCAGCCACCAACCGTGCAAGCCCTCCCACCCAAAAAGACGAGAGAGGCCTGCAACCCCCACCACAGGCACACGTCAACCACGACAGACAAACCGAGGGAAAAAAATCCAGAAAATCACACCGTAGGACCTTCAACGAATTCACCCGCAAACCACGGTGGAAAACAAGTACCTGGTCACCCACAAACAAGCAAGATTTCTGGCTCTCACAGACCTGTAACTTATTCTTTAAGATGCTCCTCTGTCCTCCACTCATTACCTGTATTAATGGCACCTGTTTGAACTTGTTATCAGTATAAAATACACCTGTCCACAACCTCAAACAGTCAAACTCCAAACTCCACTATGGCCAAGACCAAAGAGCTGTCAAAGGACACCAGAAACAAAATTGTAGACCTGCACCAGGCTGGGAAGACTGAATCTGCAATAGGTAAGCAGCTTGGTTTGAAGAAATCAACTGTGGGAGCAATTATTAGGAAATGGAAGACATACAAGACCACTGATAATCTCCCTCGATCTGGGGCTCCACGCAAGATCTCACCCCGTGGGGTCAAAATGATCACAAGAACGGTGAGCAAAAATCCCAGAACCACACGGGGGGACCTAGTGAATGACCTGCAGAGAGCTGGGACCAAAGTAACAAAGCCTACCATCAGTAACACACTACGCCGCCAGGGACTCAAATCCTGCATTGCCAGATGTGTCCCCCTGCTTAAGCCAGTACATGTCCAGGCCCGTCTGAAGTTTGCTAGAGTGCATTTGGATGATCTAGAAGAGGATTGGGAGAATGTCATATGGTCAGATGAAACCAAAATAGAACTTTTTGGTAAAAACTCAACTCGTCGTGTTCGGAGGACAAAGAATGCTGAGTTGCATCCAAAGAACACCATACCTACTGTGAAGCATGGGGGTGGAAACAACATGCTTTGGGGGTGTTTTTCTGCAAAGGGACCAGGACAACTGATCCGTGTAAAGGAAAGAATGAATGGGGCCATGTATCGTGAGATTTTGAGTGAAAACCTCCTTCCATCAGCAAGGGCATTGAAGATGAAACGTGGCTGGGTCTTTCAGCATGACAATGATCCCAAACACACCTCCCGGGCAACGAAGGAGTGGCTTCGTAAGAAGCATTTCAAGGTCCTGGAGTGGCCTAGCCAGTCTCCAGATCTCAACCCCATAGAAAATCTTTGGAGGGAGTTGAAAGTCTGTGTTGCCCAGCGACAGCCCCAAAACATCACTGCTCTAGAGGAGATATGCATGGAGGAATAGGCCAAAATACCAGCAACAGTGTGTGAAAACCTTGTGAAGACTTACAGAAAACGTTTGACCTGTGTCATTGCCAACAAAGGGTATATAACAAAGTATTGAGAAACTTTTGTTATTGACCAAATACTTATTCTCCACCACAATCCGCAAACAAATTCACCAAAAATCCCACAATGCGATTCCCCGGGTCCCCCTTCTCACTTTGTCTGTCACAGCCGACGTGCACCCACGATGAAAACCACAGGCCTCCCCCACCCCCCCCAAGCGGGAGAACCCGCACAACCGGCGGCCGACCAAACACCCCCCCCTCCCCACCGTATATATATATATATATATATATATATATATATATATATATATATATATATATATATATATATATATATATATATATATATATATATATATACACATACACATATATATATATATATATATATATATATTTATTTATTTTTTTTGCTCCTGAACTTCTTCTACTCTCAACCTCTCCGATCATTTTCATGATGTCCATCCGGTTTGCTTCTAAATGCCATATCTTTCTAACTGTGCTCTTTCCCAAAAGCTCCCAACATACAACCTATATACTTATTATGGACACAGTATGCTTACATTATTAGCTATCTTTGTTATTATTTGTTGTTATTTGTTATTAGTCCCATCCTTCAACTCTATTCAATACCTCCCATCTATCTCTTAACACCATCCATATAGGATTTCTATTTGCCATATATATTTCAACCATACTGTGATGTTTTACAAAAGTTCTGAACCTTTCTATTCTCATTGCTTCTACAGATTGTGAATTAAAAATAAACATTTTTGCTAAAAGTATTATTATATTATTGATTGATTGACTATGACTTTTCAGATCACCCAGTAATGCCATCTGCAAGGTTAGTTCCAGGTAAATATTGCAATCCTTTAGCCATTCCTGGACCTGTGTCCAAAAACAAGCTACAAATGGACAGAACCAAAACAAATGATCTAATGATTCTATCTCTTCACAGCAAAATCTGCAGAGCTGGGAAGATTGTATCCCCCATATAAATAACATTCTATTGGTAGCAAGAATTTTATATAATAATTTAAATTGAAAGATTCTAATTTTTGAATCCGGTGTCGTTTTGCGTGTCAGTTCATAAACACTATGCCATGGGATCGGTACGTCAAAGATCTCTTCCCAACTATTTTGCAATCTATATGGGACTGCTGTCAATCCTTTGGTCCTTAAGTGAAACTGATATACTTTTTTATTCATCACAGTTTTCCTTAACCAATTATGTTCTTTAATGCAAGGCCGACAGACAAGTTCCTTACTTTCTCCCCCTTCAACTTTCCTCTTCCACTTTTGCGGTAAGGCTGCAATTATTTGGTTGTAATTTTGGGTAGAGCAGACATTTCCATATGTTTTTGTTAGCTGCATGTGCGACATAACTCCACCAGTCCTACCGATGATATCATTTACGAAGATTATACCTTTTTTAAACATTCTGTCAAAAAATAAAGGTTTTTTGTCAATTAGTATATTTGAATTTAACCACAATATTTGTTGCATTATTTGTTCTGTCGTTTCTGGAGGATTAAATTGAAATTGCAACCAACTTTCTATGGCTTGTTTTAGAAATAGTGACATTTGGGAGATTATTTCCTTTTCAAATAACTGAAAGTGAGAGGTTGTAATCTGAATAAAGGGAAAAAGGCCTTTCTTGAACAGTGGGTGAGACAATCTTACTAATTTGCTTGAGAACCAGTTCGGATTTAAGTATAACTTTTGGATGACTGAAGATTTTAGTGATAGGTCTAATGCTTTAATATTTAATAATTTCTGTCCTCCGAATTCATATTCATTATATAAATATGCTCTTTTAATTTTGTCTGGCTTGCCGTTCCAAATAAAATTGAATATTTTTTTCTCATATAATTTAAAAAACTGTTTGCTAGGCGTAGGCAAGACCATAAGCAAATAGGTAAACTGGGATAATACTAAAGAGTTAAATCAGGGTGATTTTCCCACAAATTGACAGGTATTTTCCTTTCCATGGTAGTAAGATCTTATCTATTTTTGCTAACTTTCTATTAAAATTTATTGAAGTGAGATCATTTATTTCCTTTGGGATATGTATTCCGAGTATATCCACATCACCATCAGACCATTTTATTGGTAAACTACATGGTAATGTAAAAATTGTATTTTTTAGTGATCCAATACGTAATATAGTACATTTGTCATAATTTGGTTTTAATCCAGAGAGGTTAGAAAATGTATCTAGATCCTCTATGAGGCTGTGGAGGGATTCTAGTTGTGGATCTAAAAGAAAACATGAATCATCTGCGTACAATGACACCTTTGTTTTTAAGCCCTGTATTTCTAATCCTCTGATATTATTATTGGATCTGATTTTAATAGCTAACATCTCGATGGCCACAATAAATAGATATGCCGATAGTGGACAACCTTGTTTCACTCCTCTTGACAGTTTGAAACTTTCTGAGAAATAGCCATTATTTACTATTTTACACCTAGGGTTACTATACATGATTTTGACCCATTTTATAAGAGATTCTCCAAAATTGAAATGCTCCAGGCATTTATATATAAATTCCAGTCGAACTTTATCAAATGCCTTTTCGAAGTCTGCTATGAATAGCAGGCCTGGTTTCCCATATTTTCCATAGTGTTCTATTGTTTCCAATACTTGCCTTATATTATCTCCAATGTATCTTCCATGTAAAAAACCTGTCTGATTAGAATGAATAATATCCGACAATACCTTTTTAATTCTATGCGCTATACATTTTGCTAGGATTTTTGCATCACAACACTGAAGTGTAAGGGGCCTCCAATTTTGTAAATGGACTGGATCTTTATATTTTCCACTTGTATCCTGTTTCAGTAATAATGAGATCAGACCTTCTTCTTGAGTGTCAGATAATCTACCATTTACATAGGAGTGGTTAAAACATGCTAATAACGGTCCTCTTAGTATATCAAAAAAGGTTTGGTATACCTCGATTGGTATGCCATCCAACCCTGGAGTTTTCCCGGACTTAAAGTCTTTAATTGCATCCAGAA